GATTAGGGGTGCGCATCGGTCGGTTCGGTTCGGTTTTAGGTGTTATTGGTTCGGTTTATCGGTTTTCGGTTTGTAAATACTTCAAACCGATAACCAAACCAATAACATATTTCTTATCGGTTTTTGGTTAATCGGTTTATGGTACTTAACGGTTCGGTTTTCGGTTTAACCAATAAGAAAATACTCATATATATTATATACACGATAAGAAAATTTTCAAATAAAGCATATGATTTTTACAGCATTTGGCATGAAAGTAATAATCATAAAAGTAACAATCATTTTTCTAGACACATTTCAAAGGAAAAAGTGTGAAAGTAACAATCGTTTAACCATTAACACTAAGACTAGTAAATTTAGTATAGTCTTATTGGGTTATCGGTTTAACCATTAACAAAAAATTATAAAAACCGGAAACCGAACCAATAACCCAATAAAATTTTTTGCAAAACCGTTTAAAAACCGTTAGCCCAATAACCCAATATCAATAAAACCAATAGTGTTTTTTTCGGTTCGGTTTATTGGTTAAATCGGTTTTTTGCACACCCCTAATTTCAAGGCAATTCCCTAAACTTGGGTGACCATTTAGGGAATTGACTCTAAATTTAGATAGAAATATTGTATAGTGTGGAGATATTTATTACACATATACAGTGTGTTAGAATATTTTATAATGTATAGAGGTCTTAAATTAAATAGATATATTTATTCATGAGAGAACATAATTATTATGAAAAGTCATATTCATGAAAAAATATAGTAACTATTATGAAAAATCATATTTATTCATGAGAGAACATGATTATTATGAAAAGTCATATTCATGAAAAAATATAGTAAAAACTCTCTTGAAATAACATAAGAATAAATATCTAGGTATATACAAGGGTTTTGTTATATCTTTATGAGAGAACATGATTATTATGAAAAGTTATCTTTAAGTTCTATAAATATAAAAACTCTCTTGAAATAACATAAGAATAAATATCTAGGTATATACAAGGGTTTTGTTATATCTTGAAAGGAATTGCTTGTATTTTTCCCTAACATGTATACCGACAATATCTCTTTAAGAAAAGTAATTCTTCAGTCTTCACGCCTCAAAGCCATTTTTTTCTTCAATTTATACTTCATATTATTTATTTTTTAACACAATGTATTCATTATTACTATTATGCACGCAAATATAAATATATAATAAGCTTTGCTACATGATATTTCATACACGGAAGAATGTATTTCACTTTTTATTATCATCAAACAGTATGTATATTTGTTAATTTTAAAATCAAAATGCTGCTACATTTTATAATTAAGCATAATCTCTTCAGTTTTCAAAATATGAGCACAAATAATAATTTTTACCTTTATTATTTATTTCAAAATAATATAATAATAATAAATTTGTGTTATAACTATTGCATAACTAGTAGTGGTACTACTTAATGAGAAAATGACATAAATAATCCCTTAACTATAGGTCTAAAATGGCCCCTTAATTATACACTTAACAAATTTAGTCTTTTAACTATTCAAAAACTTATTAATTTTGACCTCTTAACTATACATTTAATAATTTTAATCTCTTAACTATAAACTTACCAATTTTAGTCTTTTAAGTATTCAAAAACTTATTAGATTTGGTCTTTGTCCACTTTTTAAAAAACAAATAGCTTAGGTTTATATTTATGGAATCCATGCCTCGAGAAATTAAATCCTTTAGCAATTTTTTCTGTTGTTTCTCTCTCTCCGCTATTTTTTTTTCAAATTAAACTTATGCGAAGAACCTTAACCTCAACAATTTAAAATAAAATTCACGAGGAAAGAAAATATAAATCATAATTTTATTCAACAGAGGATAAAATGAAGCATATTATTATTACTGAGGACTTGAATATGCTAAACTTTATTATAAAAAGAAAAAAATTATTACTCGTTAAATCCAAAGTTTGTACTCCAACGACTTCATTGAACGGAATTTGTTTAATTTTTCAAAAATGAAAATTTATAAAATGGTAGATTTGCAAATTTTTTTAAATAGATCAATTTTATTATTCTATTCATTTTATTTTACGTAACGAAATTTGAGTAAATTAAATAAAATTCGCAGTGATTAGCATATTCAAGTGTGAATTTAAGTCATTAACAAAAATTGTATGCTTAATTTTATTCTCCATTGAATAAAATTAAGACTTATATCTTCTTTTTTTCATTAATTTTATTTTGAATCGTTGACATTATTGTTCTTTTCATAAGAGTTGTTTGAAGAAAAAAGGACTGGGATAGAGAAACAACTTAATTAAAAAATAGGTTAAAGATTTTATTTCTCGAAGATTTTCATTAATATAAACCTAAACTATTTGTATTAAAAAATGGACAAAGACCAAACCTGATAAGTTTTTGAATACTTAAAAAACTAATATCGGTAAGTTTATAGTTAAGAGACTAAAACCGATAAGTGTATAGTTAAGGGACCAAAGCTGATAAATTTTTGAATACTTAAAGAACTAATTCCATTAAGTATATAATTAAGAGGCCGTTTTAGACCTACTCCTATAGTTAAGGGACTATCTATGTCATTTTCTCCTACTTAATAAACCAAATTGTGGTAGTTGTACGAGATAGTGGTAGGCTCCATTCCATGGGATCATCACTAATTGACCCGGAAAGCCCAAAATATCAGAAGCCTAAAAGCTATGAACGGTTAAGATTAATCAGATTAAACACACGTGTACGGTTAAAGAAGCGGTATAATCTGATAGTGCAGGCCCATTCACAATTCTATGGTCTCTGCAGAGAGCCGATCGTCTGCTCCTCACTCACCATAACAACTACTCTGCCCGTCCCCCCAAAAAAGAGAGTAAAATATCTACTTCAAAACAGAAAATCGCCGCCGATGATGCCGCCGGGAAGTTTACCTGGCCGTTCCTAGTTTCTTCTCCATCTAAAAAGGTACGATCGTCTCTTTTCCATTTCGCAATTACACTCTAGGGCTTGTTGATTTTTGAGATGTTGATGATTTTTCCATTCTATGTTTGCTGAATTTGAACTTAGGTAATTGTTTTATGAGCATTTGTGGCTGTCAGATTCGTTGAAGTAAGAGCTGAAGATGGTGAGCGTTTCTAGTGTTCATTAGGAGCTCCATACTCGATACTCTGTTTGATTTTGTTGTTCTGAGTTATGCTATTTTATGGGAATTTCTAGTGATATTCAATTACGTTGAAAGAAATAGCTGTTATTGAATTGGACCTTTCTTTTGTCTTTAAGCTTCCATTTGGCAGCTCGACGGATATTTAGATGTGAAACTTATAATTTGCAAAACTATACACTCTGTGACTTTCGTGGTACTTTACTCAAACAAAATTATACACTCTGTGACAAAAATGAATGGTGGTTTCGTGGTGCAAGGGTTAACAGTCCTGATTTTCAGTATAAATTCATATCAATTTCTTAATTCTTACAAAAAGATTGTCCTTATCTTTTTTGGCAACACTTCAATTCAAAATTTTCACATTTCATACCACAAGATTAAAGGGCATTTTGGTACATTCTACGTATCTTTAGTTTAATATCACTAGATTCAAAAGTTTTATTTACTTTCTTAAACTCCATGTCAAGTTAACTAGTCAAACAAATTGAAACGGAGGGAGTAAAGCTTACATATTTACAAAGAAGATAGTACTCTAAGGAAAATG